AAGATAGCACCCTAATCTGTTTTGCAAAACAGGAGTACGAGGCAGGACAAACAACCTCACAAATCAAGGGCAGCAACGCTGACGTACTGATGTGGAAATCTGGTCTAGACACCTCCGCTTTCTTACCCCCTCATCGCCTCGCTTTGCATCTCGGCACTCCCGAGCACATAAATAAGAGATGAAGAGTTACAAGGGAGCAAAAATGCTGACTGAATATTAAGGGATGGGAAGCCAAGCGAAGGAATTTATGCTTCTCCACTGGAAAACAGGTGACTGCAAACACAGTTGACATCATTTCTATATTCATAAGCAAAAGGTGAGGATATGAATAGCTGACAGCCTTTAGCAACAGTAGCACAACAGACCACAAAGGGAGCTGTTACACCAATAAATGGGGAAACATGTTTATTCTCCATTATAGTGCTTTGAAGTGTTCAAAGTGCTTCACATACATTATCTGGTTATAATTCTTATAACAACCCTGTAAAGTAGACGAGAACTATTATTCCCATATTACAGAGATTGTGGAGGGGGAGATAAAGCTGAGATAGGGTGAAGTCACATTTGCTTGTAACAGTATGACAGACTTTCTGGTTTATTGTGCTTTATTAAGAGTGACTGGTGTGCTTGTGCATGCCACCCAATCACCCATCACAATAAGCCAGAAAGTCTGGTTATCATCATATTCAAATTTGGCTAGGTTCTGAACAGTAGGCTATTTAAGATTTGAACTCCTTGACCCGAAGCACAAACCCCTAGCCCCTATGATGTACCAGCTCATTAAAAAAATCCATTTTAAAATTATTACCAGAGTCTTCTTTCAAGCATCAGAGAGGTAAAGGTTTATCAGGGTGAGGGGAGAGGGAGTGGTAACAAATAGCATAATAATTGCTGAAATAATTGCACATTATGGCAGGGAGGGACACACTCTGCCGTCAGTACCAGCCGCATACTTCAGAATAATTCCTAAACAGGCCAGTACAAATCTGATATGGCTTTGCACTGATTTATGTTTACGCCAGCAGGAGAAAGCACACCATCTCCCTACTCTGCATATCCATATCTATTCAAATCATCACACTCGCAGAGAAGGTAGAGAAAGGCTTGCTGCCTCACATTTCACAAGCACCTTCAAAGTCTTTCAGCATGTGCCAAATCAGGGAAGTACGTTTTTACATTATGTCACATCTCCTCATAGCTGCGCAGCCACCCAATGGACCTCTTGAGTCACTTCAACAGAAAATGGCAGCTGAGCAAGCCCAACTAAATGCTTTGCAATTCGGAGATGTACTCAATGTTAGTTATATGTAGGGCCCAGACGCTGCTGAAATTAAGAGACATAACTTAGATCCATTGCTTTCGACGTGTCTTCATTGAGTAGAATTCAGTCGGCTAGAACCCTCCATCTATAATGGAGATTTTCCATCAAATTATAAAGGATTTTTTTTTTAACGGCATTAATAAGCTACCCGCGAACCCTCTGTTAAGGCAGCAAACTGTACAGGCGAGTCACCTATTTCGGTTTAGAATATCAGAAGTTTCACATTTAAAGCTCTTTAATAATTTGTCAATTTGCCACAGAATGTCACATCTTGCCCTCAGATACCTGACGTCTTCCAGAATGAAGGCTGAAGTCACATCCACACCATATATTTAAAGGACATGGCTTCCCCAAAGAATCATCATTATTGTAGTTTTCACCTCACTGAGCTACTATTCCCAGTACCCTTAAAAAAACTAGTGCTCTCCCATCTATTATCTAACAATTTAGTTCCTCCCTCATAGATCTTTGTTTAACATTGATAGCAATATGGTCCTCTAGAATGCAGCATTGCTTTTTGCATGAAAACATGCACCACTTTTTCCAGAGTTTGAGAAGCTTTTTCTTTTTCCTTTCTTGGGAAAGCACTTCTACTTTTTAAAGGAAGTGCTCTTGCCTATTACGGCTTCCCTGATTGTGCTAGTCAACCACAAGGCCATCTTCTTGGCCTGACTTCCTCATCTGCGGTATACATTTTACCCGAGCTTCCTCCGTTATCATGGTTTTGAATAAACTCCAAGAGACTCTTGAAGTGATGCTGAGTACAATTCTTGTACACAGTTTTCAAGCTCATTTATTCAGAGTTATAACCTTTCTTTTAAGATTTCTTTCACCAGTACACACAAACCACTCATAGGAACTCAAGAAGCTGCCTTATGCTGAATCGGGTCATTGGGCCCATCAAGCTCTGTATTGCCTACACAATGACAGGAAGTGGCTCTCTAGGGTCTCAATTGACTAATTGTAGATACTACAGATTGAACCTGGGTCTTCCTACATGCATTGCAGGTGCTCTACCAATTAGTTAAAGCCCCTCCACCATGTCAGCACAATGTCTAAGATGCCAGTGCAATGTACTTTGCCACAGATTTTTGGGGGAGAGGGGGCATTTTGTTCAACCACATCCTTAACTTACTCTTTCATAGTTATTCTTTTTACAGCTCAAACATGCATGTAGCAATAGAAACACTAATTTTAAACACTGTTGAAAGAATAACATTGTTTTAAAACACACACCAACCCTTTAGGAAAATGTAGCTTTTCTGTATCTCTCTACAACAGAAAAAGACAACTATTAGGAAATGTTTGCACTGTACAAAGATCAACTACGCTTTGCCTGATCTGGAAACGCAAAAGCAAATCTGAATTCAATGAGCAACTGATCGTCAAGGAGTCTGACCTTCCAGAAAGGCCCTCAAAAGGTTATGCTAGTGTGGATATGACATAAAACCAATATAAAAACATTTCTAGAGTTTAGTGCCATAAAACTTTCTGCAGCTCATGGAAGAATAGCCGAGGGCCTATGATGGCACAAGGGCTAGAGAAAATCCAATACCTCACAACCAGGTCCTAGACTATCAGGTGGAATTCACTTCTAGACATACTGAAGTTCATGGACATGGCTTAGGTTCACTTATTTCAATGGGTCTACTCTGAGTAGAACTTAATTCAACACAAGAACCTGTGACCAGCTTACAAAATGTTATAAGGAAACGAAAAATTTGGCTTCGTTCATACAAAGACAGACTGGAGGTTATAGTGTTTTGTTCCTTACTAGAATGAATGCATAGCCCATCTTTTTCCAAAGGAAGGTTCAAGATTATGCTAGGCATATGTGGGTCTCTCTCCTTTCTAATCTGCTTTAGCTTTCTCATAGATCTTAGTGGGCTGTCATTATCAACTCCCCCTCCATATACTGAAAACAACGGCAGCAAAATAACAGGACCAGATATTAGGAGCTGTGACCAGAGAACTCTGCCCCTTCTCCAGCTTACTCTATTCACCAGAAGACAACCGAAAACCATTCTGAGCCGATCATAAGGAGAATTGAAAGGCATTCTGAGTTGAACATAAAGACAGCAAGAAACCATTCTGAGCTAAGCATTCCCCTTTATGGGGGTGGGGAAACAAGGAGCCCCTGCACATTTAGGACTGCAACTTGTATGTGCAGTAGCCTTTAAACAGATCCTCAAAAGCACATGTTCAAATACCCCGCCTGAGAGCATGCCAGGCCAGAGGACACAATACCAAGTTGACTGAGCTATAAATAGAGAAGGTTTAACGATGTACAATGAAAACCATTCATGACAGGGGGAAAGAATGGCTAAGCATCAAAAGCCAGCTACACTCCAAGTGGGTGTAGAAAGGTATGCCATTGGCAAACACTATGGGCAGAAGCATTTGGCAGAAACAAGCAAGGAGACTCAAATGACCAATTCAAGGCAATCCAGCAGTTCTACAACCACTGTGAGTGATTACAACATCCCCATGAATACAGGGCCAACAACTTGAGAGACTGTCAACACAAGAAAGGGAAGAGAACTTGGGAGAATGAGGAGTGGGGGTGGGGGGAGATCATCTTCTGTTGTCGGACAGGTATCTCACCCGCTGACACAGACACAATAGCATTTACTATTGTAATACAGTAATGAGGTTGCCTGTTTAATGCAGCAGTCAAGAGCTGTGAGCCATAAACTGTTGACATAAAAACACCCACGCACAGTGTCAGTATTAAAAGTTGTCCTAGAAGAACAAAACCTCAAATATGCTCAAGTCTTTGGGATACCATGAACGATGACAAGTTACCTTTAAAAATGTAAAAGCCACACAGTAAAATGGGGGTGGGGGGGAGAGAAGTTACATGCATTCATGTCATCTTAAGAGAGTTCTGCCTGTACAATTTTTTCAGAAGACACACACACCCTTTTTGGAAGTTTAATCCACTTCATTACAGAAAGGACTGACAAATGGAGGCCTCACAGCCAAATCTACCCACTAGAGTGTGTCATCTGACTTCTCACTTCCCCTCCCAATGGCTGTCTTGGAGTCAAGAGAGGTGTGTGGAGGGAGTGGCTGGCTGTATCAATGAGACTTGCTTTCAGTCCACTTTGAGGTACGAGAAAGGGCCTCCACCTTTTTCTAGTAAAACCAGATACTGACCAGGGCCACATTCCTGTTAAAGGAGGAGATACATTCCACAGGGTCTTTAGGACTGTTATGCCTTTAAAAAGATCTTAACACGCAACACTCTCATGTTTCAACTAAGTATACTTTCTTGCTTAATTTAATTCTTGCCTTCAAATTATTTGAGTGCGCTACGGTGACAATACTGGAAATTTTTGTTTGTCTCCCACAGTCTATCCCAGCTTTTCTCAACCTTGGGCCCCCAGATGGGGGGTGGATGGCAACTCCCATTCCTGAACATTGACCATGCTGTCTGGGAACTATGAGGTTTGCGGTCATACACCATCTGATGACCCAAGGCTCACTCTGATTTAGAACTAGCACTGACATAAATATGTGAAATGATTTCTTTCATATCCCAAAATTATTTGTTCAAACCTTGCAAAATGCCCTTTCTATCCCATCTTTCCTTTTGTACTCTAGCTATACAGTGAATACCATTAGTGAAAGCTTCTGGGTGCTTATATAGAACAATCTTCCGAGCATTTATACTCACTCTGTCTTTATCGTCAGCGACGTCACAGAGAATGTCATCACGGTCAAGGATTCCCCCATCACCATGTTCCAGACGATGCACCTGTATCCAGTAGTTTGGATCCTGCAAACCAAAAAAAGCACAATAAACAAGAAATTATTCCACGGTTGGTAACTCCACAACTACGGCCTGTTTGAAAGTGTCCCCTCCTCACACACTCAAAATCTCTCTGCCAATGAAAAACCAAATGTCAGCTTGCCCTCTATGTATTCAGACTATTGATCCATCTAAATCAGCACCATAGTAGTTTGTTTGTTTGTTTGTTTGTTTGTTTGTTTGTTTGTTTGTTTGCTTCTGTTTGGCCCAAAGTGGAATAATATAAAAGAATGATACAGGAAGTGCAATGAATACAGCAAGGCAATATGAAATAGCAAAATCATCAAGTACTTCACATTTGTGACCTTCATTCATGCTCTCACCACAGATACAACTCCCCAGCAATCCATCTCTCACTTGGAAGCCAGGTTAACTCACAGCCCGCCCACCTTGGCTGCTCCAATCTCTCACCCAGGAGTGAAGCCATCCACAACAATCACTGATGGGCGTGTGACCTCACCCTCATTGCAACCCACAAATAGCTTTGTTCCCTGGAAATGAGCCACAGCTAAGTCCTTATGGTTCATGGGCAGGGCTAGCTGGTCCAATCCTCTGACTCCAACAGGCCACTGTTCCACAGGTGCAGCATAAAAGCTTCATTGGATGTCCATGAATTCTAGTGTTATGGGGGGGGGGACTTTTCACTATCCACCTTCTCCATGCCATGCAAGATTTTATAAACGTCTATCAAGTTTAGACTTTTTCTCTAAACTAAAAAGTCTGAAACACTGCAGCCTTTCTTCACTGCAACTCCATCCCCTTGATCACTTTGGTTGATGTTTTCTGAACCATTTCTAACTCAACAATACTCACCAACTGGATGGTGGGAACCAGCACAAAGAAATCTCACACAAATGACTCTCTTATAGTCACATATAAACACTCATTTTGGAGTGCAGCCAAGGATAGGGAGTTTGAAGTCAATGCAGACTGACAGGTAGCTATCAGAAGAGGTTAAAATGGAGAGTTGCAAGGTCTTAGCTGCTGGACTAAGTCAGAAAAAGAACCGTACATAGGAGACACATTTCTCAATCAACCAAGCAAGTTAGAACATGACTGGAGAAACAGCAAAGAGACAGGAGATTCAGTAATCTCTTCTAGACAAGAGATGACCAGAGCATGGACAAGGAATGTAGAGTAGACAGAGACCCAAGTCTTCACTCTGGTTTGCAGTTCATTTATTACAAGTGTGCTTTGTTTACCCTAGATGAATCAGATTGCAAACTCTGTCATGGAGAGAGCAGGTGGTACTGAGCCAAGGGCATTGTTAGACTATAGCAAATAAGCAACTAAAACATTCTTGAACGGTTAATCACAAACCTGTTGTGCTTGGAGCCAATATTAGGACATGCCCTGCACAGCTTTCCACTGATCTGCATCAGGGATAGGCAGAATTTGTTTTGGTTTAAGACAGAAGAAGCTTTTGAACTCATTCGGTCAACTAAGGTTCCAGGAGGCCTAATCTTGAAGCATATGAATCCAGGAATGTTCCTATATAGCTGCAATGGGAGGGGTATAGTTAATCTTCAGCTTTCATGGCAACAGTTTTCGTACAAGCTGTGTGCCAACTATCTATTTGTTTGCTAGTTTTATATTGCTTGACAGTCAGATTGCAACCGTGACAGTTAAGCTACAAACTCCGCTGGTATGTATGGTAGTACGTTAAGTTGGAAAGAAGTTCCATTCATTTCCAGGGGATGATAATAAAATAATAATAATAATAATAATAATAATAATAATAATAATAATAATAATAATAATAATAGCATATTATTTATACCCCGCCCATCTGGCTGGGCTTCCCCAGCCACTCTGGGCGGCTTCCAACAAAACATTAAAATACAGTAATGCATCAAACATTAAAAGCTTCCCTAAACAGGCCTGCCTTCAGATGTCTTCTAAAAGTCTGGGAGTTGTTGTTCTCTTTGACATCTGATGGAAGTGTATTCCATAGGGCAGGTGCCACTGCCGAGAAGGCCCTCTGTCTGGTTCCCTGTAACTTGGCTTCTCACAGCGAGGGAACCGCCAGAAGGCCTTTGGCGCTGGACCTCAGTGTCAGGGCAGAACGATGGGGGCGGAGACGCTCCTTCAGGTATACTGGACCGAGGCTGTTTAGGGCTTTAAAGGTCAGCACCAACACTTTGAATTGTGCTTGGAAACGTACTGGGAGCCAATGTAGGTGTTATGTGGTCTCGGCAGCCGCTCCCAGTCACCAGCCTAGCTGCCGCGTTCTGGATTAGTTGTAGTTTCTGGGTCACCTTCAAAGGTAGCCCCACACAGAGCGCATTGCAGTAGTCCAAGCGAGAGATAACCAGAGCATGCACCACTCTGGCGAGACAGTCCGTGGGCAGAAAGGGTCTCAGCCTACATACCAGATGGAGCTGATAAACAAATGCCTGGACACAGAACTGACCTGCACCTCCATGGACAGCTGCAAGTCCACAATGACTCCCAGGCTGCGCACCTGGCCCTTCAGGGACACAGTTACCCCATCCAGGACCAGGGAGTCCTCCACACCTGCCCACCTCCTGCCACCCAAAAACAGTACTCCTGTCTTGTCAGGATTCAACCTCAATCTTAATTCCTATTAAGATTTGTTGAAGATTGATGCTTGAAAGCTGTTAGAATAATTTCATCTTTTTTCCCCCATTCCATGCTCAAAAGTTTCCGAACATGTTGTCACAGTCACAACCTTTTATTTGTAACTCTTCCATTCCCTGCTTCCCAATGATACATAGGAACAAAGGAAGCCATCTTATATTGAGTCAGACTATTGGTCCAAACTAGCTCAGTACTGTCAACATGGACTGGCAGCACCCTTCCAGAATTTCAGACAGGAGACATTTCGGCCTTGTATGCAGATACCTTGGCTTGATTTTGAGGCTTTTCGTATGATGTAAAGCATGTGCAAGTTGGATGCTTAATTTGCATGCCATGGATCACCATTTCCCTTGGTTCTATTCCCTCCTCTGCCCTTTCAGGTCACTGAAATTTAATAGTGGTAACTTATGCATGTAATGTTAGTCAAGCAAAAGTGGGAAGTCACCAGGTCCCCTGAGGTGGATAAATGAGTAGAAGAACTCTTAGTTCTTGTAGATCATCAACAAATAGGCAATATATAAAATGAGGGGTGGAAGTTACATTTCAAAATATCTAGCAGAACCTATACAGAACCTATGCAGCAGACTAAAACAGTTTTCTGCCTCGTTGGCATTATTCTGTTCCACACCACTCTGAAGAGTCAATGCACACACTTTTAAAATATGAGAAGCTAACCTTTGTTCTTAAGCATACACCAACCAGGAGTGTGAATGATGACAACCAGATGTTTGAAAATATAATTGTACAGGTACACCTGTTAAAAACTGCATTCTTATTAAGTGTACATTTGGTGGCAACCCCAAGTTCTACACAATAAATGAAATGTAGAGTTAACCAGGGTTTAAAGGAACTGTTGAAAGGAAGTGTGAAAACTGCTGGAGGAAAATATATCCCAAATAATTATTAGGTCAATTATGTTGCTGCCAGCATAGCACAGAAAAAAAATATTGACAAGGCTCCTCTTGAATGGAAGTCACTAAAGTTTCCTGTATTTTCTCCTTCCTTTCTTTTTTCATCAAAATCTACATACTGGGTGTTTTCATGTTCTTGCCCTGCCCATTGCTTTGCTGCTACACTCCCTCTGCTATTGGAAAACAAAATCCTGCAAGCTACTACTCAAGCTACGTGGTACTAAGTGCATACTTTCCCCACCCAATCACATCACTGTTGGCAGCACAACTAGCAGAGGGAGGGAGGACACACTTTGATTTCATGCTCAGAAAGAAAACCCATTAGAAAGCAAAACTATCTTATTTTAATCTCATTAGCCATGACATGGTTGTGCTGCTCCTTCATAGTTCATACATTGCACAAAAGTTTATATTTATAGAAGCTTTACTAATTCCACCTACGGGCAGGAAGGTTTTGAACAAAAACAGCACTATGTGTGCATGTGGTTTATATGTAGCACAATTAGTTGACATCTTGATAGTGGTGCATGAAATAAAAATAACCAGTCAACATAAGGATTTGCAAATATAATTTTATCATATACATTTGTTTTAAAATTGGTGAGAGAGAGAGAGAGAGAGAGAGAGAGAGAGGAGTGCATGTGTCTATACTTCAACATTTGATTTTATCGGTATTTTTAAAATGAATGCATCATATTGTTTATGTAAACTGCTAATCTTTGTTGATTAAGCAGTATATAAATCTTGTTAAATAAAACTTAGATGACTTCTAGACTCTTATCTAACTACCAAATGACAACCTCATTTTTAGTATCCACAAAGTATAAGTATCCATGACATGTTTTTGTTGAACAAAAGGTCTAGCAGCGCCGAGATTGAAAGTTTTATTGTGGCATAAACTGTTTCATGGACTACAGTCCACTTCTAGTTGAGAAAACTCATGGCTAGAAAAACAATGCCTATTTTTAGTCACAAGGATTGAGGGGTGGAGATGTCACGCAGTGGCACAAGAACTACTCAGTGTGCAGAAGTTCCATATTTGAAAGTCTCTGGAAACTGAATTTGCCTTTTGATTGACCCTAACAGTGCATTTGCCGTACGTTCTCCATCCAATTTGAGAAAGTGCCATAACTCCTGCAAATATAATGTCCCATGTTGAATTCCCATCATCTCCAGGTAGAACTGGGAGAGAATCCTGCCTGAAATCTTGGGAGAGTCACTGTCAGTTAGCATAGACAGTACTAAGCTAGGTAGACCAGTGGCTCGGACACAATGTAAGTCAGCTTCCTCTATTTCTAACTCTGGCTCCAGTACAGTAAGGCTGAGATTCACACGCCAGCTTCCTCCATGCCCAGCTGCCTATTCTGTCAGTGGAGCTGATATTAAAAGATTACTAGCAAACACAACTTTTTCTGCAACATCAGTTCCTGCTTTACCCCATTACACAGCAATCAA